GGCGGCCGGGCCCGCCCGCGGATGAGGCTCCGCGCAGTCCTCACTCAGGTCGGACCGAGCGCGGCAGCGGCCCCGGCCCTGCCCGCCCGCCCCCAGCGCCGCCCGCTGCTCGGCGGCGGAGTCTGTGGGGAGCGGGGACAAATGGGCAGTGGGGGAGCGGATGACAGCATGGAAAGAGGCACGCTTGGGACCCTGTGTTCGGTGCTAGCGGCCTGTGTCGGACTGTGCAGTTCGGGGACGGAAAAGCATACTGATGGGAGGGAAGGAGTGAGGGTATCTATCTCAGAGCCTTTCCGGAATAACTGAAAAATAAGAGCCCAGAGTTGTTGGAACCGCCGGTACTCTCCGATTCACACCGTCATCCATTTGCGTAGCTCAACGAGGAAACAGCACACATACTAGCAGTGAAGAACAGATTTGTTTAGGTCGTTTTGAGACCAACGGCAGCAATTGCTCGTCTAACCCGTGGCCCTCAAATGGGGCATACACCAAAATGGAGCTCCCGGGGTTTTTTAAGAGAGTTACAAGCATTCCCTTCTTTGTTGAAGCAGATGTAGAGCACATCTTTTTACTGCAAACAGTGCATGTCACGCTTTCCTTACAATTTACAATGCTTTCATACCATAACCTCTCTTTTCCCAAAAAAAAAAAAAAAGAATCCAAATGGGACGGCAAAGTACAGGTCAGCATAGCATCAGCTCTCTTGTTGAAAAGATGATCCAGGAGGTCTTGAACAGGGCGCAGAAGCATCTTATGTGGATGTGGTATATTTGGTGAGAGCCTTGTTATCCTCAGAGACAGATATTGTTTTCCCTTGCCAGCTACATGCTCCATTCAGGTGTGGGGCAGTTTAGGAGATGAGGCTGCCGAGTAATGAGAGTTCTTGTGAGCTGTAAAGAGATGTAGTCACCGTCACCCCACATCCGTGTACACGGCTATTTGTGTTTCCTGGGTATCAAAATGCAACATTTTTCACATGGAACAGAGAAGGAGGGTGTGAGGTGATGTGTGTGTCATCTGCTGGCGCCGACATGCGTGTGTGTCAGGGAAAGGCAAAGCGACTTGTTTGCTGTTTGATGCGCAAAGCGATGCATGTGTCATCGGGAGAGGAGACATCTGTGCCACATGGGGCTCTGACTGAGGTGTGTGCCAGCCGGTGCACAGTGATGTGTGTAGAGGGAAGCAGCAGAGTGCTGTGCCCATTCATTGGGGATCAGAATGATCCCTCCATCGTGGAGGACCAAAAGGATGCGCTATCAGGTGCTGAACAATGTTTGTCAGGTGGTGCAGAACCATCTGTGTGTGTGTTGGTCTCAGGAGGTACTGTATATTGCAGGGAGCAGAGCGATGTATGAGTCAGCATGCGGAGGGCTCTGTGGGTCAGGACGTGAGGCTAACGTGGATTGAGGATGCTGAGCGATGTGCTTTGGCAGCGGCTGGGAGGTGTGTGGGGAGGACGGCCCAGGGCGGCTCAGAGACACGGGATGTGATGAGCTGCGTGCATCGTTGGGCGCAGAGCGATCGGTTTGTAAAGCAGTGCGGAGCGATGTGCTTTCCTTCGGGAACCAAGCAATATGTGTGTAAATTGGTGGGCAGTGATGTGTGTGCGGGAGCAGCGGGAAGATGCCCATGTCATTGGGAGGAGAGCGGTGTTTCGGGAGGCGCAGAGCGATGGCAGCCCTGTATGCAGAGCAATGGGTGCACCAGCAGTGAGGAGTGATGTGTATGTCTGGGGGGTGCCCGATGATGCTGGTGCCAGGGAGTGTAAATCTAGTTTGTTTTTCAGGGTGCACTGTCTTTTTCCGGATCATAGAGCTATGTGTATGTTAGATACACACTGTGTGCATGTTTGCATATCCTTTAATGGTAAGCATGTTATGGAACTTTTAGAATGTGAAGGATATGTGTGCTGAACAAAGCAGAGTACCGAAACACATCAATGAGCTGTGGAGAGGTCACTGTAATAAGTACCCCGTGTTGGGACTCCCAAGCACTTGGAAAGAGGCATCAGGGGTGCCTTCTCACGCCTCTTGATGTGGGAGTGAATGTGCTGTGCAAGTCGCTAGATCATAATTTGCCAATTTCATTCTGTGTTTCCTCATTCAACCTTGCACAAGCTGCGACAGCACAGTGAGAGGTGAAAATCTCCTGCATTTCCATGCTCCCCTTTGCCAAGCACGGCGCTGCCCTCCCTGCCCTCCTTGCCCGAGGTTCACTGGGTGGTCAGACCTTCCCCAGGCCAGCCTTGGGAAGACAAGCTGGTCACGAAGGTGCCCAGCACGATCAGGAGCTTGGTGACAGTGCTCTGCCCAAAGCCATGCCTGGTTCCGCCCTGGCCTCAGTGCTCTGCCCGCGGCCGCCTCCCGGCTTCTCTCTGCTTCTGCCTGGCTTAGTGACTGAGATGTTAATTCCACACACCTTCCCTTGATGAATTCTTATCTGTCTTGTGTGGATATTCCTTTCTAGAAGTATTGGTTTTGAGAGGGTTACTTACTTTCTGTTTCTTAAATCTCTGCAGGAAGCACTCGAACTGTCATACTTATGGCGCCCAAATTAACACTTAATGGGCTTCCGAGGTGTGTGTGGAAACAGAGGAGCTGTACACAGTCCCATAGGTGCACTCGTGTCCTGGAGCAGCTCCTTTCCCCAGCTGCTGCACCCTGGTTACCCTGTCCTGTCCAGGTGGGACAGCCGTGGGGCTGACAGCAAACCTGACCATGCTTTTCCTCTTGGTGTCAGAGATAAGGACACACTCTGTGCCTCTGACTCCAACAATCAGTTATCACTAATTGATTGTGTTATCTTTAGCTTTCCAAGAGCAGTTTCATGCAGACTCTTAAGGTGAAAATACCTTGGCATGGGATGGGGAGAAAATTCTTCTCGGTGACAGTATGAAGTGCTTTTATTTTTGCTTTTTTTTTTGAGATGAAAATTATCTAAATTAAGACATTCTTCTTGACGGATTTTTGCAGATAGGTCATGTCTCTGCCACTGATTGCCTGTTAAAATCTTCTCCTTAATAGGCACTGATGGGTAAGATATTTTTGCATGGGGAAAAAAAGCTATGTGCAATGTAAAAAGACAGTAACAGCTGGGATCACCACCAGAAGGCACGATTATAAACAAAAACCAAAAAAAAACCCCAAAACCAACCAAAACCAAAAGAACCTCAGCACACCAATACCCACGAACAACAAAAATTCCCTACAGAAAAACCCCCAAAAAACCCCAAGAAACAAACAAAACCTTACCACCACAACAATAAACAAACACACAATAGAAAACAAATCCCAAACTGACCCAGGCAGTATAAATTACTTTTTCTTTGGGAGTTGCTTATCAAATTGCATCTGGAAGAGACAGAACCATAAGAGCCCCCACAGTCAGTCTGACCTCTTTCTAGGAAAATATCATAGAAAAATATCCTGTGAAGAGTTCTAAACGAGTAAGCTGAATGCATTGCTCAGGGTGGATGTACCAACAAGATATCAAGGGAATGGGGACGGCAAAGACAATGAAAAACATTTGCACTTTACAGACAGGGATTTTAACATACTTTTGTTCTTGTAAAATATTGTCTTACCTGCAGGAGCAGCCCACAGAGACATTTGACCTGACTGTTTCCCTCCTTTTTTCTGTGCTTTCAGATTTATGGAACAACTGATTCCCTGAACACAGAATGACATTTGGTAGGGAAGCTGGTCCCCATTACTGGTTCCACATGCTGGAAAATCTGACCCTGGGCCAGAAGTGCAGAGCAAAAATGCTTATTTCATCACAGTAACAGTGTACGGGCAGATTTAATCGCAGTTCTGCTCATACCTTTGCATCCAAATGGACCCTGTTCCCATAAGGGAAATATCCTTCTTGTTGGTTGGACATTCCTTCTCCCTTTTCCTTGATTTGAAGGTGATTTGTTTTCCAAGTTTTCTCAGACTTGGCACTCTGCACTCCCCCTGCTGGTTTTAACACTTTGACTTTGGGGTTGTATTGAACCCCAGGTTGAAACCAGTCTCAGGTTTTACCTTCCATGTTGTGCCTGTGCATCTCTGGCTCCACTTTCCCAGCTCAACCCCATATCAACACCATCCCAGCCGATTTGCTCAGTGACCCAGGATGTTGTGGCTGTGGCCAGTCACTGTCACAGTCCCTACCCCACCCACCTTGTGCATTAGATATTAAAAACATTTATAGCAATTCAATGGATTGATTGATTGGCTTGAACTGATTCTTGAAATTATCCTTTAACTGATCTCAGAAGTTATCAACAACTTTGTGGTCTGGAATGATATAGGAAATATTTCTCTCTTGCTTTGAACCAAAATCAAACTGTTTTAAAAATCTGAGTATTTTTGTAAAAAGGTAATTAAAAAAAAATAAAAATAAAAG